CTCCCCCCTCTCATGTGCTCTCTCTCTCTCATTCTCTCTCTCAAATAAAATAAATAAAATCTTAAAAAAAAAAAAAGAGGGCACGTTCTGCATGGAGCACTGGGTATTATGCACAAACAATGAATCATGGAACACTACAACAAAAACTAATGATGTAATGTATGGTGATTAACATAACAATAAAAAATTTAAAGTAAAAAAAAAAATAGAATCTGAAAGTCAAGAAAACAGATTCTTTAAAGTCTCCAAAAGGAACACAGCCCTGCTAACACCTGGATTTTAGCTCAGTGAGACCCTTCTCAGACTTCTGACCTCCGTAACTACAAGATGATAAATTTGGGCTGTTTCAAGCCCCTTTGTGGTAATTTGCTACAGGAGGTGGATACCACCGTGGCTGAGAGAGGAATTAGTGGCAAAGAAAGAATCAGTTCAGCTAGGAACAGTTTGTACAGACACCCAGGGTGAAAATTAGCCCTTTGCTTCCTTCTATTCTGCTTGCATCCAGGAGAAATTCCTGAAAGATCCTGATAGAGCAAGCTTTCCCAAATTTTAAAAATAATCTCTCGGTCATTTCAATAGCAAGGTGGAATTGAGGAGCGGTTAAGATATTTGCGCTCAAGGAGGCCTCACATGAAAAAGTGGTCTTCAATGAAATGCTGAAGCAATGCATGCTCACACAAACAATTATCTTAGAATATCGTGTTAATTATGAAGACAGGTGTGATTCATTTATCCATTCAAGAAATATGTATTGAATACCTACTGTATGTCCAGATCCCTGAGAACACAACAGTCCGAAAATGTCACAGTAATGGTTTTACGAAACTTCTCGTTTTCAAATGCTACAAAAATACTCAAGGCCATTCACAGGGGAAAAAAATATCAAATCCTAGGGCTGGAAGCAATTGCAGATTCAACCAGAGTCAGCCCCTGCCTCTTCAGTGCCTACTTTGCATGTGTCTTCGTTTCTTTTGGCGGTGACCCCAAGTCTGGAGTCCTTATACCTGAGCACCAATCAGCCTGTCTGCTGAGCTGCCCCTCCCCCCAGGAAGCCCAAAGAGAAGCTCCCATGTTCTTCCTCTGCTGGCTTCTACCCCAGGTGACCCAGCATTCATGTTCCTGGCATGCCCTTCTCATTCCGAGTCTCCTCTTTCATGCCTAAAATGTGAGTTTTGCATTTTGAGGCGTCTTTGGGCACCCAGACTCTCGAGAGCTTGATGGGGATATGGGAGGGGCCAGCAGAGAGTATTGGTCAAAGGCTGCTTAGGCTGAAGGTAGGGTTGCCAGAGAAAATAGAGTGGCTAGTTCAATTTGGATTTTCAGATAACAATATGTCCCTAATTTGGCAACATGCTAAAAAAATTATTCATTGTTTATCTGAAATTCAAATTCAACTGGGCATCCTGTCTTTTTACTTATTAAATCTGGCAGCCCTAAATTTGTGGGGGAAGGAGGCAAGGTCATGGTGGATACCAGAGTTTACCTTTGCGTGGACTGTTTGAGTCAGAAGAGGAGACAAAAAGCAAAAGAAATATAGCCGTTCTCTTGAAGGGAAATCCATGAATGGACCTCTCTCTCTCCTTTTGATCCTTTGTGCCTGGTGTGTATGTGCATGTGTGTCTATACCCATACATCGGAGTCTGCGTTTTGTTGACACAGGATTATGGTACTGACAGAAACTGGTGACAGTGATACCGATTACAGATATTGACAAAACAAGTGAGAATTTTTTAGAAAGTAAGTGATCAGTCTAAAAGTAATATTACTTACTGCATTTCTATAAACTGTCTACCATTTATGTCCAACAGCTACACAGCCCCATCACAATTTTGTTTCTTCCCCATATTTGTGTGTCTTCATAAAACCATAAAACATTATGAAAGGGTCTGCGAAATCACCTAGTCCAAATCTGACATTTACAGGTTAAGTAACCGAGACTCAGAGAGAGGAAGTGACCAACCCGGGATCATGCTCTGTCATAACAGTATTTTTCGAGGGCTCACGTACCAGGCATTTTTAAAATGCTCTGCTTGTATTATCACATTTAATCCTTGCAACCACCATATAATCACCATTATTCAGATGAATCAAATTGCGGCAGAGGGAATTATGACACTTATCTAAGGTCAAGGTTATACAGCTGGAAAGTAGAAGCGCCTGCAAAACACCCAGCTAGTTTGGCTCCAGAGTCACACACTCAACCATGAAACCCCACAGCCTCTCAAATAAGAGGAGTTCATATCATTACATATGTTAATACATGTAAAATGTCCTCGTTTACTGCTCCTCTAGCACAATTGTGTCCTTAATAACAAGGTCATGCAAACACAGTTAACAGAAAGCCGGTTGGCATCTGCTCATTTATAAACAAGCCCCACAAACATGGGATGTCTTGCTGTGATCAGAGAACAATTTAGTTGCATTTATTTATTTTTAAAGATTTTATTTATTTGACAGAGAGACAGTGAGAGAGGGAACAGAAGCAGGGGGAGTGGGAGAGGGAGAAGCAGGCTTCCCACTGAGCAGGGAGCCCAACGTGGGGCTCGATCCCAGGACCCTGGGATCATGACCTGAGCCGAAGGCAGTCGCTTAACTCACTGAGCCACTCAGGTGCCCCTATATTTAGTTTTTGAAATAATTTTAATTAGACACAACGCCAGGGTCTACCAGCAAAGCAAACACCGGCAGTGAGAGGGAGTTTTATGAATTTACATTAGGAGTAGCTCATGAAAGCAAGAAGAAAAAAAGCAAATGGAGCAGAAATCAAAACAGAGAAGAGGCTTTCCTATCCATTGTTAAACACAAAATAAACCATGTTCTCTTAGGAAGAGGCAGGCACTCTTTGCTAGCAAGCTGCCGACCCAAGGTCTGAGCTGGTGCAGCTGGACTTTATGTAATTATATCCAGGAGGATATAATCATCGGGGTCTGCAACATTACATTTACTTAGTTTCACATGCTGCTTGTTTTTTCTTTGGTGTCTTTCAGGAGATTATCAACCCCTTGTATCTCCACTGACCAAAGCACTTTGTCCATTTCCAGACCCCAGTTTGGCTATTTATCAAAGGTGGAGGATTAAGCATGCCGGTATCTGCATTGATACCATGTTTTCCTGAAGCTACCCTTATCCTGTGATACAAAGCCTGTCCAAGCTTTAAAAAGAGAAAGAGAGAAAGAAAAAGAAAAGAAGAGAAAGGAGAAAGAAAGGAAGAAAAAGAAAGAAAAAGAGCAAGTTGGCAATTTGAATTCTCCAAAGCTCCAGGGTCTACCTGGGAGACACCAGGACTCCACTAACCCACTAAAACAGGAATTAGGAATTCTCTCTCTGCACTTTCCCCGAAGGAAGGATTCCTTGATGAGTTCCCTAAGTCTGTTCTGCAGTTCTCCTATCCTTTATTTTATTTTATTTTTTACAACCAGCCCCTCCCCTACCCCCTATGCGAAAGGGCAAGGGTGCATCTGAAATGAGCTTAGTTTCTTGCAAAAACAAATCTGCATCCTCTCTTCTTCAGAAAGGTGGCAGTGTTGCCTTGCGGTTTTGACCACATTACAAAGCAGGGGCAAGGTCTCTAGCGGATTAACAGACCAACCAGCGCACTTCATCAGGGAAAGGAGAGGAAGGACATAATCCACTGTGGAACCCAGTGCCTGGCCGGCTCACCCCGGAGTCTCAGGGCCCCGAGGCTCGCGGCCACATAAGTTCTTGAATGGTCATCTCCCTTCAATGGTACGGAGCCTTAGAAAACCTCCCATGGACCCCACAGACATCTAAAAGCCAGAAGCGTCTAAGGAACTCCCACACGACCCTTATTTTCCAACATCCATACTTCTCCGTTTTGAAACATGAATCCCAAGTGGAAACACTGAGTGGTCCCATTTAGTAAAGCTGCAGAGAATCACCGTAAGCGATGCCAGCATCCTAGGAACACCTGTTACGGGGAATGTTCACATAGGAATTCTCAGAAAGTAATCCACCTTCTAAGGAGGAATTCTGCCATTTGTTGAGTGGTTTGTCACCGCTTTTATAAAACCGATATTACACACAGTGCTGTTGAGAAAGAACTTAAGGGGGCGAGTGTCTCCCTGTCTAAACGTGGAGGCCCACACGTTGGTACCTTCCATGGGCGCCTAAACCAACCCTTCATGGCGAGCCGCTATTTCCCGGCTCTCCCTTCCACTCACCTTCACTCGGCGTCCTCTGAGAAGTTTCTGTATGCGCCATTAGCACAGAAATTTTGGGGGAAATTCTCCATTTATAAATATCAGATGGTTTGGGAAAAAATATTTGTGGCACTGGACTTTTTTTTTTTCTCTACAGTGATGTCATCCTAAATACTTGGTGTGCTCCAAATTTGCTATTTTTACTTCCCCCAAGTGACTTTTTTGGGAAATACATTTGTTTGGATTAGCTACATTTTAAGTGACCCTGTATCTATTAATACACAACATCAGGTTCATCTTCTCAGCAGTTACAACTGATATTATGTAGCTCTCCAACTTGAACTCCCTTATTTGTTCATTTTCAAAGTCCTTCCTTTCCGATGTACCCCTCCAAAATTTCTATTCACAGATACAGGAAAAAAATAGAAAAGAATTGGCCTTTTCACAAACAAACAAAAATCACATCCAACAATTCAAAGCATTGAAAACGGAAGACATTAAAGTTTCTCGCCCCCACCCCCGGCCCCCAAAGTCAAATAAAAGTCTTCACTTTCAAAAATGTGCTTTGGGGGGACAAGGTGGAAGGAGCCACGGCCGGCTCTGAAACACTGGTTGGGAAGCCGTGTAGAGTTGCGAGCTGCAGAAGAGGAAAGTTAACAAGGAATGCTAAGCGACTTAGCCCTACCTGATCTGAATTTGCTCCTAATCAGCAAAGAATGCTCAGACCCCAGGAGTGTCATGTTGAGTCTCAACGAGCCGCTGGTCCCTTGGCCAGACGCCCCCTGTTTTCCACCAGGAACGGGCTCCCGGGAGCCCAGCGGAGCGCAGCTAACAACCCACAATGCATCCAACTCTCCGGGAGCGCCCGTGGGTAGGAGGACCGCGGCGGCCAGCGGCCGAAACCGGTGTCCCCAGCAAGCTGGCGGCTCCCCCCTCGCTGCGCGGGGCTAACTGACTCCCAGCCGGCGGGACCCTCCTCCTGCGCCGAGTCTGGCCGGCAGCGGCGGCATCCCAGGCGTGCCCGGCTGATGTCATGGGCTGCCAGCGATCGCGGAGTATCGCCACCACGCCTTTATGAAGGGCCCAAGTTTGCCATCCGATACTTTTTTACTACTGACAACAGCTCAGCCAATCAGGCGCGGCGAGCGGGGCCGGGGCCGGCAACCGCCCTGGGAGCGGCGGGAGCGGGGGTCCCGGCCGGCGCGCAGGGGCGCGCGGGGGCTGCGCGGGGGTGGCTGCGAGCCCCCGCGGGGCAGGAGAGGCGCGCGCGAGCGCGCGGAACCCAGCGGGGCTCCGGGCGCCGCGCGCTCTCTCCTTCTCTCCGCGTTCCCGGGCCTCGGGGCGCAGGCAGAGACGAGCGGCCGCGGGGAAAGGGAAAGCCTTTCATTTTCCCGGGATGTGCGCTTTCGGGGCGAGCCTGACTCGGTGGACGCGCAGATCCAGCCTGGGGACACCAGGCCCTCCCTCTGGGGGAAGGCACAGCCGTGGAACTGTGGGGGGGCCCCAGGAGGGTGGGACTCAGGGAGGGAGGGTCTCAGGAGCCTGGGTGGGGGTAGTTGGGGTGTCAGAGCTGGGGTCAGGCTTAGCTTGCAAAGGCTCTAGGCTTTTCCTACGCGTCGGGGGGGGGGAATCCATTCTGAACCCAAAACGGAGTATTGGACATCTAGAATGTGCCAGGGGTTATAAGCTCTACTTGATCCGAATTAGCTCCTAATCAGCAGCAAGGAAGGCTCATCGGGAAGTAAAACAAAGACTCTGCTTTCAAGAAGCTTGCTCCGTAGGTGGTGGCACCGAAAATAAAACCCAAGCTGTGTACCTACATGGTGTTGGGTTGAATTGATTTGCAACCTTCTATGCGCGTGGGCCCCTGGTCTCCTGGATCACATACATAACTGCTTAGGTCTCAGGAGAACGCAACCCTTACAAGGTCGGGGTGACAGGTGAAGACCCGATAGGACAACCTCCTGGGACAACTTCTGGTGCCGGAATTCTCTGATCCTTGCCTTCATTCTTTGGATCCTACCAGTCCTTTGTGTACAGAAGGTCATCTGAGTTAGGCCATACCCTTCTTGGGTCAGAAGGGAGACAAAGCAACCCCAGCCATGTTCCCATTGGGAACAGTGTCCTGGCCGCGGAGGGGGTTTCCAGGCGGGTGGAAGATACAGGAGCATCTCGGTGGCGATGTCTCATTTCCATACACAGTGTGTTAATTTCCTAGTCTTGCAGTAACAAGTTACCCTGAGTTCAGGGAGTTAAAACGACACGAATTTATTACCTTGCAGTTGTGGAGGTCAGAAGTCTGGGTTCTCCTGGGCTGAGCTCAAGGTACCGTCAGGGCTCTTGTCCCTTCAGAGAATCTAGAGCAGAACGGTTTCCTGCCCTGTTCCAGCTTGTAGAGGCCAATCATTCTCTTTTGCTCCTAGTCCCTTCCTCCCATCTTCAGAGCTAGCAGTGGTGGGGACAAGCTCTTACCCCCCTCAGGTGACTGATCCCCCACCCCCCACTTCTGCCTCCCTCTTCCACACTTTAAGGATGCTTGTGATTACATTGGGCCCCCCTGGGTAAACCTTATTGCAAGGTCAGCTGATTGCCAACCTTAATTCCTTCTGGTACCTTCATTCCCCCTCTGCCATGGAGTGAAACAGATTCCTGGGATTGAGATGTGAACAGTGGGAAGGGGAGACATTCTGCCTGGCACAGAGTGACCCCCTCCTCCTCCCAGCATGTTCCTGTCCTCAGTCAAGCCCCAGGCTCCTGGTCTTCGATGGAAAGAGGTCAAGGGGCTAGGGTTTGGGAACCCAGGACCGCAGGAGCCTGGAAGAATTCCAGTGACTTCGAGCTGCCTGAGGCAGAGAGGTGCTCTGCGGGGAAGGGATCAGTGACAGAGGGAACATTGCAAGATGATCCGAGTAGCGAAAAAGAAACTACTCTGAGCAACATCAAAAACAAAAAACCCAAACAGATTTTTATCCTGAGGGCCGTAGGGCTGAGAAGAGGTCCACGCAACTTGGCAGAGAATTCTTTTTCAGCGAAAGTTGTGAGGAAAACAGGGGAGCCAGCATTGAAAGTAAGGGTCTGCGTGACCTAGGGGAGTTGGACAGGAGTATGTTGTTTTCCCTCTGCTGGCGTGACTGTGTGTGTGTGTGTGTGTGTGTGTGTAGGGGAGCTTGGTTTCTTTTTTGAGTGAGTTTGGGAAATGCTGGTCGCCAAAATGTCAATTTTCCCATCACAACACAGAGCTGCTGACGTCTGCCTGCTGAGATTTATGCCCCCTACAGTGTGGAATATCTCTGGATATAAATATGCTCATATAGAAGATCATCCTTCCTTCTCTCTATGCAAGCATTTTTTTTAAAGCAATTTGGAGAGGCTGTTCCCGAAGGGGAAAGATCTCCAAGTAGCTATGAGAACAGCAATGGCCTGCCACCAAGCTCTGTCCTACAATTTGACCACCTTGGAGGCACTTGTCCCGTATACCATGCGACCCTGGGACTTCTCTCCTGAGCCCATGATGTAAGGTGGAAGACAGACACGAGCTGCCTGTGTTGGGGGGAACTTCATCTGACCCTGAGCTCCCTCTGTGACCTGGAGTGAATTATCAAAGTCTTCCAAGACAGCATCTTCCGGGAACATGACGTTGGAAATATTTACTTCTAGAAGGGTGCGGAAGTTTAGATGAGATAGGACATTGGGAGCACCCAGAACAATCCCCCATGGCATGTTTTGTGTTTTAGGTCCCTCTCTTGACCCTCCCCTGACCTCTGATCCTTCTTGATGATTCCAAGCAATCCTGAATCTCTCTGTTGTGGCTTCCCTTTACTTGGCCATGAGTTATCTACAACTGGGTAACCAATTACCGCCAGGGTAGCAGCTTAACACAGCACACATGCTTACTATCTCACAGTTTCCATGGGTTGGGATTCTGGGCATGGCTCAGCTGGCCCTTGGCTCAGGAATTCACGGGGCTGCAGTCAAGGTCATGGTGAGGGTTTCAGCCTTGTCGAAGGCCCAGCATTCTCTTCCAAGCTCACTGGCTGAGTAGAATCCAGCTTCTTGCAGTCCTAGAACTCACTGTAGCTTGCTCTGTCCCAACAGGAGAATCTCTCTTTCACGAAAGACCCTTTTAAAGGACTCCCCTGATTAGGCCAGACCCACCCAATACAATCGCCCTTTTAACAAACTCAAGGTCATACCATTAAGGAAACTTCATGGTATCTGCAAAACCCCTTGACATTGGCCAAATCACATAACCTAACCGTGGCTGTGTCATCGGTCACATTCAAGCCCCCCCCTCCGCCGATGGTGAAGGAGAGAGGGTTATACAAGGGTGTAACTCACTGAGCCTTCTGCCCTTCACAGCTGTGGTCCTGGGCCTGCAGCCAGGTGGGAGTGTTGTGTCTGGAAGCGTGAGTCCACTGCACAGCTCAGGGTGGTCAGCTTGAACCCTGACCCCGTGTGGACCTCCTCGTGGGGCCACCTGGGGTCAGGGGCTGGGTCGCAGGGCACGGGGTGGTGAGCAAAGGGACAGCTCGCTTATGTGGACCTCAGGACCTCCAGTTGTCTTAGCACACCAAAGTCATCACTGTCTTCTTGGACCTCATCATGTCCTTGTCCTCAGTGCCTGTCTCCGGTATCATCTGCTGTCTGTTTTCTCTTTTTTTCTTTCACGTGTCTGATGAGCACCTTCAGGGGAGCATCTGTCCCTCTTTCATCCATTCATTGAAAGTGTGTATAGGGATCTGTACAAGCCACTCTGGCGAATGTCCTGGTTAGACATAGAGCTTACATGCGGGTTTGTACACTCACATGATTTGACCAGTGATAGGAGAGAATGTGCTGGGGCAGGGGGTGTCTGCGGCAGGCCTGACACACAGGGCTGGTCCAAATGGGGCAGCGAGGACGTTTAGCCTGGGTTGACCATAGCCAGACAGAAACTTACTGGCATTCCCTCCGGATATTCAAACAAACTGAAAACCCAGGGGGAAATGTTCCATGTATTGGTTTCTAAAAATGTGAGTGGCTATTGGTAATTTCAAAAAACAAAAATAAACAAAAAACTCTTAAAACAGTATGAGTCAACCAGGGACAGATTCAGGATGTGGGACCTGAGACTTATGTATCTGGCCGGGGGGGGGGGGCTTTAAAAAAATAAGTGCAAAATCAGAAATGGGATGGTTCGTGAAAGTGTGACTTTTGACCAAAATTGAGAAATGGAATCACAACTACCTGGAGCATGGACGATTCGGATCCTCAGTCAACTGACCAGAAATGGTAATGCAGAAATGCTTCCTACTTGCATCCTGGCTTCCCTTCCCACCTGGAACTCTCTAGAATTCCCAGCTACTCCCAGCACCCCCAGGGCTGGTGTCAGTAGGAGGAAGGACCCTGATGCTTAAGTTTCATTAACTTCATGGTAAATCCATCTTGGGGGCCAATAAAACATGTCTTCAAGCCGAATGAGGCTCGTATACCTCTGCCAAGAAAATCTGGTCTCTAAGAGGCTCCGTGACCCCAGGAACGAGAGTAAAATGCATGCTACCAAGTTACCAATTTAAGAAATTACCTATTTAAGGAATACAGCTTCAGCCTATCAATTTTGTTTCAATTTCAATTCAATTCAAATTCAATTCAATTTCAATTCCATTTCAATATTTATTAAGCGTGGACTGTGTTCTAGCCCTGCAGGGGTTATAAAGATAACACAGATGTGATCCTGGACCTCCAAGGGCTAAGGATATAGTGGCAGGGCATCCCCAAGCTCCCAGCGCACCAGAAATCCAATGTCATTATTATGCTAGTAACGGAATGAAATCTCAGATGGAACTCACTGGGGCCGCCCTGTTAATATAACCTGTTTTCTTTCACGAAAGTAAAGGGAGAAGGACTTTTGTCTAAGTTAAACAAAGGCTTTAAGTTAAACAAATGTAAAGAAAGCCGTTTCAGTTGAAAGTATCTGTCACAGCTCCTGGTCCCCCTGCCTGCCAGTAATGCTTCTCACCCTGTCCCCCTCTCTTTGCACTTCTCCATCCTATAGC